CAGGAATGACTTTTCTTTTATCCTACAGAGGGATTCAAGATGAAACAAATTAGTTGGCAACTTCACAGTGGCTTTAAGTATCTCTTTTGTGAGAGAAGAAACTAAAACAATAGTTTAACTATTCACTACATTATCAAAACTCTCTAATTTCACCTCACATCTCTTGCACATTCCCGAGGGTCCCAGAGATCCAACTGCTGCTTCCTATCCCTTCTCCACAGAAACTCATTCCAAGGGCTGAGAACCCTCAGGACAGGTAGAAAGGGCAAGGCTTGCCTCAGAAGGTAGATCCATGGGCTGGCACTCCAATCCCTGGAGGCCACGTTTTATAGCTTAAAAAGATAGGTGTAGAAGTACGGCATTTGGGGAATTGAGGCGGCTGCTGTTCTATTTCACCTTTTGGTATTTGGGGGTGTTTGGGCTGTATAGTAGCAGGAATTCTGTCAACGTGCACGTACCACAGGGAAACTGGGGGTTAAGTACAAACGAAGAGAAGTTGGTTTTGCAGTTTAATCAGGTCAATGGTGACAGCATCCTTTAAGGAAGCATACTAATTAGCGTGGGCCTTTCTACTTTCTGCCTAGCCGGGCCGTGTCATACTGTTGAGGAAACATTGATATACACCACACGCCCCATTAATAAATGACTTCGGAGGCCAAGGCCGAGTGAGCTTCAATAAAGGAAACAGGAGAAGCTGGAAATCTGACCTGTTCACCTTGCTCTAATGATTAACTTTAAAGTATTTAAAACCTCTGATTGCTTATACTGACTGTTTCCCTTCGTGTGAGTCTGTGGGGAAGAATTTCACAGAATACTAACAAAAAACAAAGGCCAGCAAGAGGAAGGCGGCCATCTAGCTGGAGCCGGCCTCTGATAAACAGCAAAGCGAGGGCTTTAAAAGTCGTTAGGCTTTTCTATTAATAAAAGGACGAGGAGGTGCAATTCCCGAGGGTGCTCCTCTCCCCATGCACAATTATAAACTGCGGTTTCCTGAACCCCGTTTCGTGGCCCGCCCACTGCTGTAAAACTGCCAACTCTGTGGCAGGCAAAACTGACAAACTTTGCCTGTCTCGGTTTTGCAGAATTGTGATGAAAATAAATAGCCGGGCTGCTGCCTGTGCGATTTCCCTCTCCCAGAGTTTGCAAACACAGTCCGTGTCCTAGATGTGCGCGTTTAAACAAAGTATGTTGCGGAGTTCCCCCGCTTGAGAGCTGGGATTGTCACCATTTGGCAATTACTGATGGAGAAGGAAAGCTCCCTGCCTGCTGCACGTACATGTGGATGAAAGGAAAGCAATGTTTACGGCTCACGCTTGGAGACCAGATGCTGCGTGGCATCCCTCCTTCGAGGCCTTTTGGGGAAGCGGAAACCGACAAGCACAGCCACACACTCTGCAGGAGGACAGGGGAAACAGCCGGCATGTCATTAGGTACCTGATTGCATCGTGCTGTCTATTACGGTTGGCTTTTCTGTGGTCAGCGCAGTGGTCCCACCTGCAAAACAAACCCAGTAACATGCGAATGTCAGAAAAGGGTAGGCAATTGACAGCCACACACGTCGTATGCTTACACATCTATTAGAGGCAAACATTCTCCAAAGAACACCCTTCCTTTAATTCCACTGTCATTCTTTCATTTAAATTTTGCTCGTCAAGATACCAGCTTCGAATGAACCATTAAAACAATTTTGCATTCACAGAGACAGAGAGGGAGAGGGGAGAGAGAGACAGAAAGAAAGTGAGAAAGTAACTCCCAGGGGGATGTCCACACTGCAATCCCTTCAACTCCACTCTCCTTTGGGGATTTTGAGCATACATGCACATGCACCTGGCGTGATCTTTTCAAGCAGCCAGGTCTGGGATACAAGCTGTGCAGCTGGCCACGTGGGATCCCACTGCCTTAGCCACGAGGCTGCCAGGCAGGGCCCCTGTACTTTTCTTTATAAGGAGTCCAGAAGGCAGGGAGAGTTTGCGACTTTGTTCCAAGGCCGTTCACTGATTTGCGGACCCAACATGACATACAATTGCAGCAGTGTAAAACAAAAGTCTCTGAACGTCCTCAGTGACCAGGCATGAGACTTGACCTAGACCTCTGTGCTTCCAATCACTCCTTCCAATCCAGGTAGTGGCTCCTCCTCCTTTTGCTGCTGTAGTCATTTGTTTTTCCCAAGGACACACACTCTGCCCAGCCTGTGGTTTGGCAAAGCTGGAGGAGGAGGCCAGGAAAAGGGACAGAGAGAAAGATGTCGTCACAGCCCTGAGGCACTGGAAGACTACACAGCGCCTAACATGGCCCAATTGGTCCGGGCTTACTGAGAACTCCTGGCCAGGGAGAGGCTGTGCCCTGTGGAGACTTGGCTCAACCATCTCTTCTTCTCCATCTCAGCTCTTTCCTCGATCCCACGATGCATCATTAGACTTCTGTTTTAAAGTCATGTTGCTAAACTCCCCCAGCCATGAGACTCACCTGAACGCTGGTAGAAATTGCAGTTTCCTATCCACCTGTCCTCTCTAGAGCCATCAGGATCAGAATAGGCACATGGCCTTGAAACCTGTCTTGTTTTAAAACTGAATTTAATTTTTAAAGGTTTATTTATTTACTTCTTCCAGGACAGAGTCAGAGACAGAGGTGGAGAGACAGAGAGACAGGGTTCCCATGCCATGATTCACCCCAGCTAGCACCATCCCGAACCGCAGGCGTGCATGTCTGGTACGCTCTGGAAGGTCCTGGGTCATGAATCCAGGACTTTTGCCATGGCGTCCACTTGTGTTCCCACCGTGGTACTCCCTGGCCTCCCTAAAATCTGTATTTTTGAAAGCATCTCAGGTGAGTCTTATAGCTCACTAAGTTTGGAAAACAACTGCCTTTCATTCCTAGGCACTGAGAAAGCCTCCTCTCCTCCGCATGTCTATGATGCAGGTGATAGAGGACATGGGTCTGTTATCCCGAGGGACGAGGCACCAGGCCGACGGGGGAGGACCTGGGGAGGCTAAGACCATGATGGCAGGTGATGGAGGAGGTGACACGCTGCCCTTGCTGCCAAGTTCCAACCGTGTCATTCCGTACAGATCTGTGGGTGATGTTTACTTGGGCCCGACTGGTCCTATAGCTGTCCCCGATTAGAAATCACGCCACACATGCATACGTGAGTCAGAGAGCTGTAAAACTGTGCTCTTGGAATTGTCTTCAGGGTTCTGAGCTGACCGACTGCAGCGTCAAGTCGGCTCGCCCTGCTCTCCCAGTAAATACTGCTGGGCGGGCCGTCACACGCATGGCCTCCACGCGGCAGGCCCCAGGAAGAAGGGATTATATATATTCTGGGTTAAGAAGGTGAGTCTATAATGGCAGAATTGGAGGGAGGCCAGCATACATTAGCATTCTGTTCCCAGTGGTCTTATAGGAGAAGGGCTCAAGGTGAAAATTCACTTTTTAAAACCGATATGCATTATCGGTTTTGTTATAGGTTGGGAGCCAAATTCCACCGTTGGGTACACACAGCTCCGATGTGAAATTCAGCCTCCCGATGCCTTTGAAGCCAATTGTATTATCTAATGACTTCAAAGGCATTTGCAAATGAGTAACTTCGGGGTGAATTTTCACCTCGGCAAGCAAGCTCGGAGAGCAAGTGCTCTCCTCTGGCCCAGACGCTGGAATTCCGGAATTCAGCGCTGTTAATTAGGACTGAGCATTTTGCTAAATGTTTCTCCCCCTCTGTATACAAATAGGTCACCTTAGGAGAAGAAACTAAATCCAGACCATCTGCGTTAAGGGACTAAACACAGCTAAGGACAGCGTGGAGCCCAATGTCCGTGCTCCCGCCTATCAGAGGTAAAGGAAGAGTGCTCTTGGTCTCACTGCCCCGAATAGCCAGAGTGTTCTTCGCTCTGACAGTAAAGCCAGTGACAAGAATTAGCCAAAGGGTGCAGAGTTGCACGAGCACCCAGGTGTGTTGCTGAGATGGGGTGTCCTGTGAGCTTGCTATTCCTTGTAAACAGCGATTTATGAGCACAGCCTTCTTCAGAAAACAAAAAGCAACATAGGGTCTTTTCAAAAAGAAAAAGGAAAACAAAAAGGCCTTAATGCATTCAGCAAATACGAAGTATGGGGCCGCCTTCTAAATATCACCTCTCCTTGACGGGGAAGCGAAATGGCATGATCAACACCCGGAAAGGTTCTCAGTCCATGCATGTATCTATGGAATTACTGAGACCAATGCATCAGCCTAAGAAAATAACTTTTTCTTCTTGCCGTAGTAATACGTAAAAAAAGAAATTAGAATGAATTTTCTTTCTGCCTATCCAAGAAATGATTTTAAACACTGTAAGTAAAGCAAAGCTTAAACTTCAACGGGCTTTCAGTGTCCCTCTGTAAAGGACCCCCGTTCTGGGGTGTGCAGCTTGCTGCCCTACGCGACTTGCTCCAGGCTACCGTTTTTGCCCTCTTTCATCCGAAGGCCTCGGTTTCAATGGATTCAGTCATCAGTTCAGACAGAAATGAGCAGGCCGGTTGTCTACGCAGAGCAAATCCGAGGCTTTGTTTCTAATGAATATTAACTGACCACTTTAGGGTTTATAAAGAAAAGACCCCCTTCACCAGAGGGCAACTGCAAACTGTATGCCGCGAAACTGCAGTGGTTCCTTTTTATGAGGAATTTCACAACGGATGTGTGATGGGGTCTGCGGAAAGCCTGAGGTTCGCTGCGGAGTGTTCACAGGCAGCCTGGGGAAGGTCCCACAGGCACTGGCACTCGGAAGGGTACTCTGGTTTTTACACCAGCTGGAGGGGTTTCAACTTGAACTTCGCATCTTACACAGAAAATGCCTCTGCATTAATTAAAGTAATTTTTGCAGCTTATAGCTAGTTACACAGAAAAATTTGCATTCAAAAGCCCATAGGCATGCTACCTTTATGGACCATATGAATGTAAGTGATGATCCTGGAAATGTGGAGGGAGACAGCTTTAGGAGGTGAGATTTAAATGTAAACCCAGCTTGTGGTACTAACTTTCTGGGCTAGACTATTATTATTATTATTATTATTATTCCTTCCCCCTTTATTTCATCGCAGAGTGCAGAGCTGTCTTGCTCCTTCAGGGGAGAGCTTTTGAAGTAATCGAAGATGTACTGTTGGACTTTTTCTTCCAGGTTTTGCACGACAACATTAGCCAGTACCATGGTCCTGTTCTAAAGTTACATGGCAGCGCCTTTGGTGTTGCCCATGGAAATGAATTGTTGGCTCTCTGAGTCCCTTCTGGATGAAAATACAGACTGCAGGGACCAGCAGTTGGTGTAATGGCTATATTGCTGGACTCCCATGTAGCTAACCATGGTTCGAGTCCTGGATCCGGTGGCTTAAACTCACACTAGGTGTGTGTGCGTGCGTGCCCAAGATCCTGAGAGGAGAATGGAGAAGAAGGGATTGTGGCATGGCCATCCTCTCTGGGGGAGTGATTTCTAGTTTTCTGTCTCTCTGTCTCTGGCAAGTGCACGCACCCTATAGCAAAAATCTCTCCAAAAAAAAGAAAAAAGAAAAAGAAAAAGAAAATACAGACTGCAATCAAGGGCTTGTGTTTAATCCGAAGTGAGCATCCAATGCGATAGGAAACTGCATTTTGAACCAGCTAGCAGTCAAGTCCCACGATACCTTTCACAACAATCAGGTGAAAATCCTAGCCACTTGGCCAGTTTCCAAATGGTGCAATCCCATTTCCCCACCTGCCTAGTATTTCCTCTGCCCTCCTAAGTGGAAGAGAAGGTCACTCTGTAGCTTTTAGGGTTTTAGGGATTCGAGTGCAACACTCTAGATTAATTAGTGAGGCGGCTGGCGCGCACTGTCTCTTACGCATTTGCTAGTCAGTGGTGATGTGAAATAACAACTAATTCCGCCTTTATACATTTAAATGGAAAATAATTTACAAAATCCCAACTTAAAAGCCACATTTCAAATACCAGCCTAATTTCATCAATTAGGTGGATAGGGAACCACTCAAAAAATTTCATCCTCATTAGAAGAGGAAAGTAAACATTCTCAAGTGTGTGGTTACCTAGGGATGGGGGGCGGGGCGGGCAGGTACGTGTGTTTTGGGAGGAGTTCGAGTATGAAGATGAGGATCCGTTAGCACGTTTAGCCAGCAAGAAATTCTCACTCAGCTAAGGTAATCCTAGCCCGTGGCTCTGAAAATGGTTAAAATCACTGTTGCAAATGGCTGTGGCTATTAAGAACACGGTGCGTGAACAGATGACGCGAGGAAATGAAAATGCACATGTCCGGCAGGGCTGCCGCTCTTTCCAGGGCAGCCACACCGCCCTGATGCCCACCCCCACGTGGACCAGGAGAACACACAGGCGTGAGCTGGTCCCGACAATGACACGCACGGACGCCATAGCAATGGGGTGAGGGTGGTCTCTGCACCTGCGAGCTGGGTGTCGTCACCTGTCCCGCTGTGGCAGTTGGCCTGGTCGTCATCACACTCGTCTACCAGGTTCCCGTTGGGAGTGGTCGGCCCGGCTGTCGGTGCTGAAACGAGACCCCGACCGTTATCTCACACCTCTGAAATGTATTCTCAAGCCTCCGCTTGTTCAATCTGTTAATACTTCTGCAGAACACTCAACTCTGTAGGAAGAATAAGGCAGGGGCATGATTTGTCTCTTCCAGGAGCTAAATCTACTTGGGTTTTGCAGGGAGCCTCAGAAACTGCTTGGGTCTGGTGTCGGATCCACCTCTGCTGGGTAGCGCTGTCCGCCCTGGCATTTTATACGTGGTTCCCTACATAAACATCCTTTTTCTGAAAAGCTTTTGAATTCTCACTGGCTATTTACCCATGATCCAGGAGTTGAGCATTTCGATGACAGAGATTTTGCCTGAACTATTTTCCCTTCCTTTTGCAAGATGCCAGAGAACTCACTCATGAATTCTTTCATACCTAGTGTTAACTAAGTTTGCTAAGTTTATCATTTTTTTTCCCAAGAGGGAGTCTTGACATTCAGATTTGCCGCAATATAGCTCTTTTACTAAAGAGTCATTGCGTTTCTCTGCGAGCAGCTTCCCAGCCCGGGAGCTCTCTCTCGAGCAGGTGTGTGAGGGGAGCTGTCTCAGATATCCTGGGGTCATTCCACCTGAACTCCCGAGGACTGCATTCCACCACTGGCAGTTATCCCCGTATCTTTGAGTTTGTAGTTGAAAAGCAGCCAACATTAATCAAAGACTGCTTTTGAAGTTCTCTAAATTTAGTTCAGCCTATTTTTTTTTTCCAGCCTGTTACTCATTTTTGCAATCTGTTTAATATTTTACAGTTTTCGGCATTACATTTCACTGTACTAGACTTGAGATAATGCATAGTTCTCTTGATGTCTGAGAAGCGGACAAGATGTGGGAAATGCGGGTTTCTGTTCTGATACAGCTCCTGGCCAGTAGGAAAGTGCCGCTCACTGCTGCTTCTCAAGACAAACCTGACACTGTTCGTTAGTGTGCTCTAGTACCGCTTAAAGTTAGGATGGATATAGAAATGTAACGAACTTTCGACTTCATCAGCTGCCCAAACACAGCCCACCCTAACTAGGAATGCACCCTGTATAGGTTTCAGACATACCTATTTAGGCTGCCATCCACACTGGAAAAATGCAGACGCATCTACTCTGAGTTTCATTCGTCTCTGCAACTGACTCAGTAGACTCCTTTCTGACAATCCAGAGTGTCTTCTCTAAGCTGTCCTTGCCCTTAATCATGTGCTGAATCATATTTTATTTATTTACTTTTAGAAAGGTTTTTGTTATAGGGCACGTGCTCTCGCTGGAGACAGAGACAGGGAGAGAGAGGAAAAAAGAGAGAGAAATCCCTTCTCCATCCTCCTCTTGGGATTTTGGGCAGGCATGCACACACATGCCTGGATTGAGGTTCAAGCTACCAGGTCTGGTACTCAAACCACAATTGGCCATGCGGGGAGTTCAGTGTCCTAACCACTACACCACCAGCTGGCCCCAAGCATTTTAAAAGTTGTCTTCATTTTGCTGATTTTTCTGCATTCTTTATAAAGGAGGGATCCCCAGGGGAAATGGCCCATGATTGTGCCTAGATTAAACTCAAGAAAGCAGAAAGTGAATGCTTTTTCTCCTCCAAGTTCATTATTTGAAAATATGTTATCTTCTGTGGTTCTGTTTCTTTCTTTTCTTTTTTCTTTTCTTTTCTTTTCTTTTCTTTTCTTTTCTTTTCTTTTCTTTTCTTTTCTTTTCTTTTCTCTTCTCTTCTCTTCTCTTCTCTTCTCTTCTCTTCTCTTCTCTTCTCTTCTCCTCTCTTCTCTTTCCTTCTCTTTCCTTCCCTTCCCTTCCCTTTCCCTTTCCCTTTCCCTTTCTTTCTTTCTTTCTTTCTTTTTTTTTTTTTTAAGTTTTTCTTTATTCCTGAGAGTGTACATGCATGCACACATGATAGTGAGACAGAGATAAGGACCCTCTGGAGGGTCTGGTCACATCCCTTCAGTCCTCCAGCCCTCAAGCATGTTAGGTTCCGGGTCTTCACATGTGTGCCCGGCATGTTCAGACTGACAAGGCCAGAGCTCTGAGTCCGAGTCAGTCACCATGGAGGATGTGGTTCTCTTGAACAGCGCACCACGGCAGCACCATGGGCCGGCCCTCTGACTATGTAAGTACGACTTCTAGTTCCAAACCAGATGGCCACTCACTGAAGACCGGACTGAACCTCATCCCCTTTCTGTATCTCTTTGGAGGTCTAAACGAGGCACAATACAGATATTTAACAAGGACCTGTTAAGTGATTTAAGGGAGGAGAAAAGACTCCCTCTCACCAATTGTGTTACTTTCCCGGATGTTGGTTTCTCACATGGCTCAGGTAACTTCCTCACTGTCATGAGCACTCAGAAACATCTGTAGGCAAATCCCTTCCCAGCCATTTCTACCACACTAGAGTTGATGCTGGCAGACTGCCACTGGGCTCAGCCTTTTCAACCATCCATTCACCCCACCGCCTAGATCAGGGTTGCTTCCGGAATCCAGGCTCAAGCCCTGCGTCCGAGCAGTGGACTCCCTTTTCCAGACGACCACATTTCGCAGTCAACTCAACGCATGTGTCTGCAGTAGGTTCAACGTACCCATCCCTTCTCTTTCTTGGCATCTTTACCAAAGCCCTGGCACATGGTCATTCTTGGTCTGTGTTGACAGTGATTAGATAATTCAGAGGGCTAGGACATGACTGTGGAGATGGAAACAACCCCACAGTGAAGAATGGGAGCTAATGGCCTGCTTTTAAATAAACACATAGGAAAACGGCTATGAATTATTCAAAGGCGTGCTGATTGATAGCTTGAGAGTCTGTAGAGCATAAGAAAAGTTTTAGGGTACTTAATGTGCTCAGGAATGTAATTAGATTTGGGTAGCTCGAAACACAAATAATTCCGAAACCACAAAAAGGTGGTATTAAAAAGCATTCTTCAAAACGACTATGAGCGTGTGCTTCATTGATTAACATCTGGGTGCCAACGACAGACCTGTTTGAGCCGACCTGGAGAAAGACTTCTATGGGGTGCAAAAGCCGGTATGAGGTTACTCATTCATGCCCAAATCTAAGGCAGATGGGAGTTCTAACGAACAAACGCAGTACGCAGTACAATAACCCATCCCAGCATTGGCTTCCTCCATTCCATATTGAAAGACAGAGGGTTCTGAGGTCACAGTATGAACTAAATCTGTCCATGATAGGACCCTCCTACAATGACCTAGGTTTACCCAATAGCCTCTTGAAGCAAGCCTCACTGTACTTTCATACATTATCCCATGTGAAGTTTTGTTTTTCTTCAGCTGCCTAAGAAATTCATCCATTGGTTTCTGGAGATCTCGGGCTGGGAAATGCTGCTTCCTGCTCTGTGTGATGGTACTTAACACCGTGGACAGAAAGTTGGATCAGACGTGGACCTCCAATCAGTATTTGAAGAGTCAGAGGAATCGGTGGTTACCAGGGGAGGGCTGGGGGCAGAGAGAAAAGGAACTACGTATGTGGTGAGCGGTTTACTGCGGAGTGATGGGAACCTTCTCGAGCGGGATGGAGGTGGAGGCTATATGACCACACTGCGAATGCACTGAACGTCTCTGAACTGTCCACTTTAAAACGGTTCTTTTTATATTTCATGAATTTAACTTCCATACATGACTTTAAAAAAGAAAGTCAAAGAAACAACCTCGCAGAGCCAGAGTGGTGCGAGTGTCGAAAGCGGAGGTCGGATTCCGAGGGGCAGCTCCATGGTACGTGCTGGAACACCGGGCCTCCCTGACGGGCAGGACAGAGGAAGGCCCGCCCAGGGCAAGGTGGCAGTTTCCAACAACCCCATCAGGGGCATGAGCACATGGAAAGGAAAATAAAAAAGGAGGAAACCAAAAGACAGAACGCTGGAAACTGTAATTACCTTCCACTTCACAGCCCAGCAGCTCCATCCGCAGCCCGAGTCCCCCGTGAGTGGCTCTCTCAGGGTAGATCCTGATGAACCGTGTGGAGAGAGGTGGAAACGTCCGCAGCTCGGGTGTGTCGTAGTTGCTATTGCCCTCAAAAGACTGCGAAGCATGAAAAACTCAGGTTATTAAGAAAAGAAAAAAAAGAGACTTTCTTTTGCAGATGTTTCTTTCCTTTTTAGGACTGTTAATAGGGCAGAGAAAGAGGCCTCGTTCCACCACATCTAAAATGGCTTATTACATCCTTTCATAAAGGAGGAAGGAAAAGGTCATCAGGCTTTGAGTGACAGATGCAGTTTCTCAGACACCTTGGAGTGCCCGCTGAGGCTGTACCGGAAGCTGAGCATTGACTGAGAGACATTTTAAATGATATGCTAGGGGGCCGGTGGGCAGTGTGGTGGTTAAGATGGCTGGATCCCACAAAGCCGGCTGTGCAGTTCAAGTCCCAGACCCGGTAGCTTGAAAAACATGCCAGGCACATGTGCATGCATGCCCAAAATCCTGAAAGGAAAATGGAGGAGAAAGGATTGTGGCATGGTCTTCTTCCTTGTGGCAGGGAAGGAGGTGATTTCTCACTTTCCCTCTTTCTCTCTCTCCGGTGAGCACACGCACCCCATAGTGAAACTAAAAATAGTAGTAATATATATATA